AGCTCACTCTGGGTCTCCCGGTGAGTGCAGGCACCAGCTACCTGGGCTGTTACCCGCTGCCTCTTAGGGTGTCTGTTGGGAAGCTGGAATGGGAGCAGAGCCTTGGACCCGCGCACTGTGCTGTGAGACGTCAGTGTCCCAAACCAGCGCCTCTCACCCTGAATCAGACACCTGCTTGTCGTCCCCCCCCCCCCCCAGGCCGCCGAGAGCCAGACAGCTTCCATGGGCTGCTCTGCCGGGCTACTCCTCAAGCGCCCACGGTGGCCGGGGCCCAGCTACCGGAGCCATCACTCGCTGCCTCCCAGGGTCTGCAGTCAAGCTGGCGTCGGGGCTGGATCTGGGCGTGGAGTCCAGGCCCTGCGGCTTGGGCTGCAGGCGTCTTAGCCCACCCCCGGGCTATTTGCGAAAGCTAACGTTGCTCCTGAAGGCGCTGTAGTCAGACTTGAGCAGGCTCTGTCTGGTGCCCTTTCTCGTCCCAGCCCAAGTAGATTTCCAGGGAGTCGGGGCCCCTGCTGGCCGGATCACCCCTGATCGAAGGCCACTTTGAGTGGCGGTGCCAAGGCCTCCTGTCTTTGCACCAGGACTGAATGCCCATTGTTTGAGAAGCCTGATCTCTCCGTCTCTCCTGAAACAAATATGCTGGGGCAGGCCTCTTCTTCCTGCCTTCTGAGCTGACGGTTTTGAACCTGAGGAGTGTGCTGCGGTCTCCTTGCCCTCGGCCCTGCGATGCGGGCGCGGCCGTGGACGCCCCGTACCCGTCTCTCCTCTCGCTCCTCCTCCCCCGGGGCTCCTGGCGGCCAGCCTCAGCTGGATGTTGAGCCCCGCAAGTCCAGTCAGAGCTTCCGCTCGGCATCGCTCTCACCACGATCAGCTGCCCCGGTGCGGCCAGAGTGCTCGGCCTGGTGGCCTCTTGCCCAGGGTTTACCTGTCTCTGTGCCAGTGGCGCCCTTGGTGAGAGGCTTTCCCGGATGCCGCCTGGGCGAGCACCGTGTGTGTCCCGAGCCCTGGCTCCTGCCTCTGCCGAGAGACCCGCAGGGCTGGGGCCGCCGTATCTCGTGGCCCCTCCCCGAGTGAGCTCCTCTCGCGGCACGGTCCCTCCCCTCTTCCTTCTGCCTGGTGTGTGCGCTTTGCTTCGGCGCTGAGGCAGTGCCCAGGTACCCTGGCTCCTGCTCTCTCTCCCCCTGAGCCTTTGCTGGGTGGTCAGCAGCCCGGCCCTGGTTAGCTGTGGTTTCTGTTGGTGTGCTGGCTTGTGTGGCCTTTGCCGGCACCGTTCTTTGTAAACTGCTCGGACAGGGACTTTGACCGGCTGTGTGTCTAAAGCGGTGACTGGCAAACTGTGAAATGACACCCGTTATGCCGTTGGAGCCCCAGAGTGCAGCCTGGAACAGCCTCCCCTCGTGGTGCGCTCTGGTGTGGTGTTTATCTCGTCACACTGTCGTGAGCACGTAAGCTAGTGTGCGACCAGGACTTCAGGGAATCTGGTTCCGCGTCCACCTGCAGGGCCGTGCGTCGGCGATTGGCTGCTGCGGTCTGTGAGTTGGACTGCGGTGGAGGCGGCGCCCATGGGGCTTGGTTGAGTGGGCGGCCGGCTGCTGTGGGCGTGTTGTCTGACTGCTAGGGACCTGCGGCTGGAGACAGCAGGAGGACTCGGGCCTCTGCCTCCACAGCCTGGGCCTCGCCTTGTCACGTGCTGATCCCGCGCTGGTCAGGCACGGCCGACCGCTGTTCCGTACCCGCACCCAGCCCGGGAGCGAGTGCTCATTCCTCTCCCTTGGTTCCAAAGGTGGGCCGGCCGGCGTGGACATGTGAGCTCCTGTAGGTTGCTGCGGCGGAGCCGGATTCCGGGCAGGACCTGTAGCCGTCTCCACGCGGGTCTGGGGAGGCTTTGCCTGGCGTTTCCAGTACGGCCAGGCCGGGCTTCCTGCGACTTCTTTTTCTGGCCATGCGGTGCTCTATGGGACTGGAACACAAGCTTGTGCTTATTTGGAAGCCAGAGGACAGAGATTTTCCATCTGCTGGCTCCCTCTGCAAAAGCCAGAGCTGGGCCTGGCCGAGGCCGGGGGCTGGAGCTCGGCCGAGGCCCCCGCCTGTGCGGCAGGGTCACAGGTCACAGGTGCTCGCGCTGCCTCCTGGGTGCACATGGCAGGGAGCAGAGCTGGGACTCCGGCCCAGGCACTGCCGTGCGGGGCGCAGGCGGCCATCCCGATCCCCGGCACCGACGCCCGCCCCCGAGCGGAAGTGTCTGCTGTTGGCTGACTCAGCACACTTCACCTGTTAGGTCTGAAGCTCTGCTTGCATGGAGCCTGGACAACAACTCCCATTCTTCACGTGGCCTCTGCGAATGCTACGGGCGCAGAAGCAGACGCCCGGCCTCCGATCCGGCCTCCTTGCTCGCCCACGCGGCCATGGTTGACCCTGGGACCGTGGTTGATGGGAGAGGCTGGATGGAGGCGCTCGCCCGGCTGCCTCCTGCTTTCGGTGCCTCTGCGGGCTGTGCACCTTGCAGGGCTCCTGGTTGTTGTGTGGCCCTGGAGCGGTTTTCCTGGCTCACGCTGCTGTGTCCAGTCTGGTGGGGGAGCGAGGCCGTGGTGTGCACCACCCAGCCCCCCTGCGCCGAGAGCGCCGGCTTTACGGGCGTCTGGCCATCCTTGGCAGCCGCCTCTGGGCGGGGTTGGCCATCCTGCAGCTGTGGGAGCGAGGCTCAGGGACTCCACGTAAGGACCTTGCCCAAGGTCGCAGCTCATCATTGATCTGAATTTGCTGCTGGCCAGTCCGGCCCGAGAGGCCACAGCTAACCCTTGTAGGACTGGACCTTTTCCTTCAAACCCTCACGCCTGTTTGAGAACACGGAGGAAAGGGCTGGGCCCGCTCAGAGCGGCAGACTGGAGGGGCGGGCCTGGCCCTGAGGCACTTCCCTTTGATTCTGTGGAAGGGTGTGCGTGAGGCGCGTCGGGGTTCTGGGCCGGCTCTGTTTGGGCCCGGCGTCTCTGTTCTGGGCCCGTGACTCGCCGCACAGGCCCGGCAGACCGGGAGCACCCGGGCTGTGTCCTGGTTCTCGGCACAGTGCAGCCTGCCTCGGGGTCTTTCCCTGTGGCACGCAGGTGCCGGGGGCGGGCGGGGGCGGTGTCCGTGCTCGGCTGTCGGAGGCCGTGAACTGTGAGCCTGTTTTCTCCCCACGCACCTGCGTCTTGACACACTGCCTTCTCGCAGCCTTGGGTCTTGAGGACATCGCTTGTTCTCTTTAGAGGCCGCTGTAGGCCTGTCTGGGTGAGAGCATGGTTGCCTGCCAGAGGGTTTTACCAGTAGCACAGGTGGCCGCCACCACATGGCAGTGCCCCTCCCGTCGCCTGGAGTGGCTGCTGCAGTCCCAGGTTCACCCGCCTTGTTTGCCGTCTTCCCCACCGGATGGTCCTGCGAGCCTTGTCTGTGTTCCCATACAGAGAGCACTGCGTTTGATTTTGCAGAGAGCTGAGGCACACACGGGGCCCGATCCTGGCCACACAAGAGCTAAGGGCACGCCCCGTGCCTGCCCCTCGTCACACACGGGGCCCCGATCCTGGCCACACAAGAGCTAAGGGCACGCCCTGTACCTGCCCCTCGTCACACACGGGGCCCCGATCCTGGCCACACAAGAGCTAAGAGTGCGCCCCGTACCTGCCCCTCGTCACACACGGGGCCCCGATCCTGGCCACACAAGAGCTAAGGGCGCGCCCCGTACCTGCCCCTCGTCACACACGGGGCCCCGATCCTGGCCACACGTTGGAGTCTGGATCCAGGTCACACCGAGTGTCCTGATCTGGGTCAGGAGTGAGCACACACTAGCCCTGCCCTGGTCACACAGGGAGTCAGAGACACACACTGCCCCTGCCCCTGCCCCGGTCACACAGGAGCCAGGGACACACACTGCCCCTGCCCCTACCCCGGTCACACAGGAGCCAGAGACACACTGCCCCTGCCCTGGTCACACAGGAGCCAGGGACACACTGCACCTACCCTGGTCACACAGGAGCCAGGGACACACACTAGCCCTGCCCCGGTCACACAGGGAACCAGGGATACATACTGCCCTGCCCCGGTCACACAGGAGCCAGGGACACACACTGCCCCTGCCCCTACCCCGGTCACACAGGAGCCAGAGACACACTGCCCCTGCCCTGGTCACACAGGAGCCAGGGACACACTGCACCTACCCTGGTCACACAGGAGCCAGAGACACACACTGCCCCTACCTTGGTCACACAGGAGCCAGGGGCACACTGCACCTACCCTGGTCACACAGGAGCCAGAGACACACACTGTCCCTGCCCCTGCCCTGGTCACGCAGGGAGCCAGGGACACAAACTGCCCCTGCCCCGGTCACACAGGAGCTAGGGACACACTGCCCCTGCCCCGGTCACACAGGAGCCAGGGACACACTGCCCCTGCCCCGGTCACACAGGAGCCAGGGACACACTGCCCCTGCCCTGGTCACACAGGAGCCAGGGACACACACTTCACTCTGATCCTGGTCACACAGAGATGTAAGGGTCACACGTTGTTTCAGGAGCGCCAGCTGTCTGGCCGTCCTGGCCCTGTGGAATGCGTCTCCCAGGTGTGACTGAGCTCTGGTGGCTGTGTCGTGGAACCAGCCGGTGACCAGGTGGGTATGGAGGCGGCCCTGACATCCCCATGGAAAGATGACTCACGTGACAGTCTGCAGCGGTGGCCGTCACAGTGGTCAGTTACATGGAGCGTGTTCAGAACAGCGCACCTTTACGCAGGACGAGGATGGGAGAGCGGAGACAGCGTTTGTGGGTTCTTTCGGGGCCGCTGTGATGTGCGTTCCCACCCACAGGGTGGGGTGCAGCCCTCTGCACAGGTGGGGTCCCGTGTTCCTTCTGAGTAGCGGGGGTGTTCACTGCGTCGTGGACTTAGATTGTGAAAACAGCTCCTGCTTTTGGAAGGACTTGTGGTACCAGAATTGGCCGAGCCCCCAGTTACGCCCGGTTTCTTTGTCCTAGGAATATGAAGACAAGGCTGGAAGACCTAGCAGGCCGCCCTCCCCAAAGCAGAATGTGAGGAAGAACCTTGACTTTGAGCCACTCTCCACCACCGCACTCATCCTCGAAGACCGACCAGCGTGAGTCCCGGCAGAGCGCTCGCGGCCGCGGGGCAGGGCGTGCCGAGCCTGGGGCCACAGAGGGCGGCCGGCAGCCACGCTCCCGTCCCGTTCCCGTGTTCCGCGGTGGGGTTAGATGACAGCTTGGAAAACTGTGCCTTAGCTAGCACGGAAGCCTTGACCAGGGTTTTCCACTCAGGGTTGGCCCCTGTAAACCAGCGCCGGAGGCTGCCTAGGTGGCTCCTGCAGGGGAGGGCCGCTCGCAGCTCCCGGCGATGCCGGAACCGGTTCTCCAAGGTGGCGGTCGAGGTGGTGCCCTGAGCAGGCCGTGGGGAGCGGACGCGGGCCCCACCTCTCTCTGGACTTGTGCGATGGGGGGTCCCGTCTGGTGACCCCGGTGGAGGAGGGAGGCTGCCCCTCGCGCCCGTTCACAGTGTGCCGTGTCCGCGTGCTGAGCTTCTCCGGAAAGCTGTGTTTGGGGACAGGCAGGGAAGCGGGCTGACAGCCAGCGGCTGCTTACGCTCCAGCCTCCCTGCCGCCCCCGAAGTGCAGCGCTGGTGGAGTAGATGGAGCCAGTGGGTCCAGGGGGGACCTCTGTCCTCTGTAGCTTCTGGGCCCTGAAACCGTGTAGGGGAGAGAATTCCCGAAGCAGGGTGCTGAAGGGCGAGGTGGAGCCCTGAGGTGCAGCAGGGGCGTGGCTCCCGGCATCCCACAGTGCAGGGCGCCGTTGCCTGAGGGGCACGGGCGGTGGGATTCCGCCCCTTCCCGCTAATCCCACACTTGTGAAAGAGCATCCGTTCTGTTATTATTGTAAAGGTTGATTTACTTATTTGAAAGGCAGCGTTCCAGAGAGGTAGAGAGCGAGAGAGAGAGAGACAGAAAGATATCTTCCATCCGCTGGTTCACTCCCCAAATGGCCACTGCATCTACCCTGGTCACACAGGAGCCAGGGACACACCCTGCCCCTGCCCCGGTCACACAGGGAGCCAGGGACACACTGCCCCTGCCCCTGCCCTGGTCACGCAGGGAGTCAGGGACACACACTGCCCCTACCCCAGTCACACAGGTATCTAGGGACACACTGCCCCTACCCCGGTCACACAGGGAGCCAGGGACACACTGCCCCTACCCCGGTCACACAGGGAGCCAGGGACACACTGCCCCTACCCCAGTCACACAGGAGCCAGGGACACACCCTGCCCCTGCCCTGGTCACACAGGGAGCCAGGGACACACTGCCCCTGCCCCAGTCACACAGGAGCCAGGGACACACACTGCCCCTGCCCCTGCCCCTGCCCTGGTCACACAGGGAGTCAGGGACACACACTGCCCCTACCCCAGTCACACAGGAGCCAGGGACACACACTGCCCCTGCCACTGCCCCTGCCCTGATCTGAAGTTGCGCTGATCCGAAGTCAGGAGCCAGGAGCTTCTTCCGGGTCTCCCACGTGGGTGCAGGGGCCCAGGCACTTGGGCCGTCTTCTACTGCTTTCGCAGACCACAGTGGAGAGCCAGATTGGAAGTGGAGCAGCCGAGACTCAAACTGGCGCCCTGTGGGATGCCAGCACTGTAGGCAGTGGGTGGCTTCACCTGCTATGCCACAGTGCCACAGCACCGGCCCCTCTATTGTTATTATTTTTACTGGGATTTGGAGGTGCATGCCATTTTTAAGATGCTATATATTTAAAAAAGTACTAAGACAGACTCCATCGCTAGCATGGAACTTGTCCCGGGAGACGCCCGTGTGTCTGTCGCAGTATGCGCTGTCGGGGCCCTGCCTGGAGCTGGCTCAGGACGCTTGGCAGTCATGCCCCGCGGTCAGAGCAGAGCCTGACGGAAAACACCCACAGGCCATTTTCCCTGTTGCAGCTGAACGCTGTTAGAATTCACGTTTTACAAAATGTGTTTGTTTTCCTTTTGTAAGCAGAGATCTTTGACAGAGCCATGTGATGTTACAAAAAATCTAGTTTTTGATCTGTCAGCTGTATGTTGGTTAGTAACAGTGCTTCAGATTTTTTTTCTTTTTCCTTCAACGACTTTAGTTAAACATTTATAACGGTGAAAACTCCTTTGTTTCCTATCAAGAAACCTCCCCGCGAAGCCCGCTGAAGAGGCGCAGAAGCACCGGCAGCAGTATGAAGCCATGGTGGTTCAGGCCAAGAAGCGAGGTAACTGCGCGGGCGCGGCCGGCCGCGGGGCCGAGCTCCCGGCTGCGGGGGTGCTGCCTCGCCCTGTGCAGCCCCAGAACCCCGCTGAGTGAGCCTGGGAATGTCCTGGCATCCGTAACGTCCCAGAGCATGCGTGTTTCTGCTGCCCATCTCTGTTGTCTCACTGGGGGTAGCACCCTGACCTTACATGGAGATAGAGGCTGTCTCAGCTAGACGGAGCGGGCCAGGGGCGCCCACGGTGCCGGCGGCAGGTTTGGGCCTCTGTTCACAGGGAGTGTGATTGGTTCGGTAGAATCTCTTGGACAGCCAAAGACCTCCACGCTTTAGAATATTTTAACGGTGACTACGACAGAGTGTGTGTGCATACAGTGCGACACTGGCCTCAGGAAGGAAGGGCATGCTGACAGACGCTGTGACAGGGGCGGGCCTTCAAGACATGGTGCTGAGTGACATAAGCCGGCCTCCGAGGGACAGGCGCTCGGACGCGGTCCCTGGGCTTGTGAGACCCATCGAGGCGGCGAGTGGGGAGCTGGAGAAGTCCTGGAGGTGATGGGGCCGTGGTCGCACGCCCGTGCGACTGTGCTACGGCGGTAAAATGGCAAATCTTAGCATACGTTCTGCCACCATTTGGCAAAGCACAGCCGCCCCTGGCATCCGTGGGCGCTGGGCCCAGGGCGCTCCTGCCGCCTTGCGGACCAGAACCCGCCGGCACTGCCCCCTCCGTTTGCCTCTCGCCTACGCGCACCCTCTGGTTTGGGCAGGTCTTCAGGATGCGTGTACATGCTGGGTGGACAGTGGCTGCGTGGTTGTGGTTAGGAAACACAGGAAGAGACGTGTGCAGTGTGCAGTGTGATGCAGGGTGTGGTGGTGAGCCCGCAGTCCACACCGAACGGGGCGTGTCTTACTGAATGGGGTGTGTCTTACTGAATGGGGGCGTGTCTTACTGAATGGGGTGTGTCTTACTGAATGGGGGCGTGTCTTACTGAATGGGGCGTGTCTCACTGAACGGGGTGTGTCTTACTGAATGGGGGCGTGTCTTACTGAATGGGGCGTGTCTTACTGAATGGGGGCGAGTCTTACTGAATGGGGCATGTCTTAATGGGGCGTGTCTTACTGAATGGGGGCGAGTCTTACTGAACAGGGCGTGTCTTACTGTACGGGGCGTGTCTTACTGAATGGGGGGTTGTCTTACTGAACGGTGCATGTTTTACTGAATGGGGGGTTGTCTTACTGAATGGGGCGTGTCTTACTGAATGGGGGTTGTCTTACTGAACGGGGCGTGTCTTACTGAGTGGGGCGTGTCTTAGGTGGCTTTTGTCCGATGAGGGTGTTGCCCAGGCTCTCAGAAGACAGCAGAGGGCTTCCATTTGGAAGGGGTTCGAGGGTGTGTCGATTGGGTGGTCCTCTCCTGGGTTTGCCCGTGTTGTATTCAGGGCGTTGTGTCTTTGTGTGCGTGTCACACTTCCAAAGCTTACCAAAGGGTGGGCGAGACGCCGGAGCACTCCCACATCCGTGGGCTCCGCGGATCGTGCTCCATGCGAGCGTCCTGGGGCGGTCTCTGCGCCTGGCCTGCACGTGCTGGCCGCCAGGTAACAGGTGTTTCCTGGTCTCTGCTCGGGATTTCAGAGCTGAAGGAGGCCCAGCGGAGGAAGAAGCAGCTGGAGGAGCGATGCAGAGTGGAGGAGAGCATTGGGAACGCCGTGCTCACCTGGAACAACGAGGTCCTGCCCAACTGGGAAACCATGTGAGGTTTGACCGCGGCGCCACCATCTGCCCTCCCTGCCCCACCCGCGCCAGGCTTCAGATGTCAGGACTTCCTGTGACTCTCAGCATAGAGTCTGAGCTTCCAACCCTCCCGGGCAGAGATGGCCTGCCCTCCCTCTGCCCCCTAGGGAGCCCCCAGTAGCTGCTGCCCCTTCCGGCCCCAGGGCCTTAGTGTGCTCCACGCCCTGTGCCTACAGCGCTTGCGCCCGCACCTCCTCTCACAGCAAACTTCCGCTCGCTCTTCAAGGCTCCGCTCCCCTCAGGAAGAGATCCTCGGGGTGCTCCCCCACCCCCGTTGTCGGGTGGAGACCAGGTCTGCTCCGACAGCGCCCCCCGGTGTCAGCACCGAGCGTGCACCCAGCGGAGCCCGGCGGTGGCCCGCATCCGGGGCTCTCTCTTTCTGCCTGCGTGTTGGCATGGGTGGGGCCCGTGTGGTGCAGAGGCGGGTGGGGAGCTTGGAGGCCGCGGCCCCGCTGCTCTCATGCTGCATGTTGGCGTGCTGGGGCTCCCCGAGATACCCACGGGCGTCGTTGCTGTCCCTCTGGGGGCCGGGCATCCCCGCCGAGGTCTCCACCAGGAAAGTGGGCCGTTCTCAGAGCCTGCTTCTTCCAGGCTCTTCCTGCGCACCCTGTCTGCAGGCCATGCGTGCTCACCTCCCGGTGAGGTCCTGTCTGCAGTGGAGTTGGGCAGCTCTGACGTAGCGGCCACTTGCACAGCCCGCGGGAGGCCGGGCCACGTCTTGCTCTGCCCAGCCAGTCCTCGCCACCCTCCTGTGCTCTGGCTGTCGCTGGCCCTTCAGAGCCCTGGTCTGGGGCGGGCGCTGCGCCCTCTGCTTCGTGTGGCTCCCTGTGTACCGTTCTCTGCGCCCATCACAGTCATTGCCAGGGGAAGGCGACGGTGCATCTGGTCTCCCCGGAGCCCTGGGCTGCACACTGCACGGGGCTGAGGCTGGGACTCACACAGCCGTGTGTCCCTGGCTCCTGGGCCTTGGGGCCAGGCCCGCGGACAGACAGGTCCTCCTCGCGCCGAGCAGAGCCGTGGACTCACGCCTCCGTTTTTGTCCAGGTGGTGCTCCAGGAAAGTTCGGGATCTGTGGTGGCAGGGAATCCCGCCGAGTGTGCGAGGCAAGGTCTGGAGCCTAGCCATCGGCAACGAGTTAAACATCACCCACGGTGAGTGGCCCGCGCGAGCCCAGGCTCGGGGTGCAGCCCTGGGTCCTGGGGCTGCTGCTGTCCCTTTCAAGGACCCTGGCCAGCTGGGAGGCCTGGGCGCAGTCACCTGAGCAGGCGCCCCGGGCAGAGGGGAGGGCAGGTGCGCCTGGGGACGCGTGCGCGGCTCACGCACCCGGGATGGGATGCGGACGTGGAGGGGCGGGGGCTGTTCTTTCTCTGGAGCTGCTGTGCTTGGGGAACCTGCTGGCTGCTTGGGGATTGTTTTCAGGCACCGCAGAGGGGTCAGTGTACTGTACTGGGACTGGGTGTCAGGGCCGTGGGGTGAGATGTGTGCCCCCAGGCTGTTTGTCGCCCCGTGCAGCATCTGCCCAGTCTGTGTGAAGCCCAGAGCTCCGCGGGTCCGTGCACTCGGGGGTACCGCGCTTTATGCCTCGTGCGTGGCAGTCTTCACCTTCCCCTCCCCTTCCCCACGTGCAGCGTGGCTCTGCCGTGTCCCGCGAGGGCCCCGAGGCCGCTGGGGAGGGCCTTGAGTCTGGCACTGCCTGTGACTGGGGAGCCGGCCTTGTCTGGCTCCGCCAGCGTCCTGGCTGTGAGGAGAGCGGCTCACAGCTGCAGGCCGGAACCCGTTCTGGCTGCACAGCGCTCAGCACTGGGCTGTCTCTCCAGGTCCCAGTCCCGGCAGGCCCCGGAGGTCTGTGCCTTTTCATAGTCAAATGGATTTTTCCCGAGTTCCCAGCCACTCTAGGACCGGCAGGTATTCCTTAGGAGAGCCGGTCTGAAGATCGCACGGGGGCCCCCGACGCATGGCCGTGGTATGCTCTGTGTCGGTGGTCCTGGCTCCGAACTGTTGGGCATTTCTCTTTCACAAGGGAGTTATCTTACATTCACTGGCAGCAGCGTACATGCAACACATGCTCATATATAGGTATTTACACACGCTCATACACACACATGCACACATGCTCACATGTACCCTCCCCCCCCCCCCCCCGGCTTTGTGCCTTCTCGTTCAGGTGTCTGTAGCTGGTTGGGCCGTGGCAGACCAGCTTGTCCGTGATCAGAGGCCTGTCCCCGGCAGTGTGCACCTAGGTGATGGCGGCGGGCAGGCTCGGGGAGACGCACGTCTGTGCAGGGGGCCGGGGGCAGGGAGCCTCCTGGAAACTTCGTGCCCAGCCCCATCCCTTCCATGATCTGTCCCAGCACTGGCGCGGGAGACGACCTAACCCTGCGCTGTCGGCAGCCCGCTCTGCTGGAGGTGGTGCCCCTGCCTTGTGCGTTCCATGTCCGGCTCTCCCTGGTGCCTGGGTTGATCGTGTCATTGTGGATCCGGCTGAGCACCGGTGGTGTCCGCCTGGAGTGATGTGCTGCTTCGTCAGAGCTGTGGCCTCACCCGCCGTCTGCCCCGCCCGTGCCCTGCCCAGGTCTCTGTGACCCAGGGCTGCTGCACCCGTGCCCCGCCCGGTTCCCTGACCCAGGGCTGCCCGCTTCATCTCGCTTTCCCTGCACTTCCGAGCCAGTGCAAGAAGAGTGACCTTGGACTCCGATTGCGGAGAGCCAGGCCTCGTCCGCTGTTCTGTGATCGTGTGTCTTACTTGGTAGACAGCACTCCTGCAGGGCCAGGCCTTGGTGGCCTTGCTGTCCTCCTGAGAACACTGAGCTTCCTGGGGAGGCCCCGTGGCTGGGGCTCGCGGGAGATGCCGCTTCTAGTCCCGGCTGACTCTGACCGGTGTTCTGACCACAGCGTCGTCCTTTGGGAAGTCAGCCTGGTGCTCTGCAGGCAGGGCTGGGGTCTGGGGAGAGGCTGTAGGAGCCGTCTCCTCCCCTCCCCACAGCACGCACCAGCAGACCACGTGGGCCTGTTGAAGCCCTGACCCTGACCCTGCCGGTGCTTCTGTGAACTTGATCTCCCCGGGGAAGTGGGTCCCTGGTGGTCCATCTCCTGACAGTGACGCAGGCAGAGGTCCCACCCGGTGCTCGGGCCACAAACCTCCACACAAGCTGGCAGCCGCCAGGTCTGGGCCAGGGCAAAGCCAGGAGCCAGGAGCGCCCCCTGGGTCTCCCGTGGGGGTGGCAGGTCTGCTGCTGCCTTCCCAGGGGCCTTAGCAGGAGCGTTGCACAGGTGGCCTGGCCTGCCCCACGTCCCCCGCCTGCCCTCCGTGTCTGTCCCCTCAGCACCCGCGGGCAGGTGGCGCTTTCTGGGTCAGGACGACGCGCAGTTGCACCCATAATGATGCCTCTTCTGCCGTGGCACCTCGCCTGGGCTCTAAGTTACGTCCTTTACAGGGCGAGAACCAGGCCACAGTCAAGGTTTGACAGGTTGTGTCATGATGGTGCAGCTAGAATCTGAGTTTCATTGTAATAAAATGGCTTGCGCTGTGCAGAAGGCGGCTGTGTTGTGTGGAGATGCCAAGGGCGAGAATCGCGCCTGGTTTCAGCGGTGACCCGGGGCACGGGGGCGCTGGGAACAGGAAGCGCCTGGGCCTGGGGCGGGTGGGGGGGCAGGGTCGTCACAGTCGCTCTCTGAAAGACAGAGGGGTGTGGGCATCCCCGTGGAGGTCGGTGGGTGCTCGTCAGTTTTGGAGCAGGGCTTATTTATTCTCTTCCTAGTCTTCTGCAAGTTTTATTGTCCATTTGGGAAGCAGAGGGATACACAGAGAGCTCTCATTCACTGGTTTACTCCCCAGAGGCAATGGCCTGGGTCAGAGTTCGAGCCGGGAGCGGGGAACTCCATCCAGGTCCCCCACGTGGGTGGCAGGGTCCCCGCTCGCCGGGAGCTGGTGCAGAGACTCGAAGCCAGGCGCTGCACGGTGGGACCTGCGGCTGCCCCCAGCCTCACTTGTGAGGCTGCACGCCTGCTCCTCGGATGATGTTAAGGGTTAGACTATCCAGAGGACGGCTGGAAAAATAAGTCTGAACATGGACGTGTTGGAGACTGTTGTCCTAGTTCCTTGGCTGTCCCTGGTCGTCTGTTCCTTTCCCTGCCCCACTTGATGGGCAGCCTGTGCCATGCCAGGAGCAGTTGCAGGGTGTCCCTGCCGGAAGCCTGCTGGGCTATCGGTGGTCTCCGCCCCCTCACCCCCCACCCATCCGCCAGACGTGAGTGCGTTACTCTGGGTGGGGGAGGGGAGTGAGGGACCCACAGAGTTTTAATTCCAGGAACTCACGGTCTAGGAAGGGCAGCAGGCAGATCTCAAGGGGGTAGGACAAGATAGCTTTGCGGGTAGGCGTGCCAGGCGTAGCGGGGTTGTGCGTGTGCCCTTTGCCCGTCTGTGACTGTGTCTTTACACAGCGGGAATGCCCTCAGGCTCACTGGGGGAGCTGCTTACATCGGGAGCCTGGCCGGGCACAGCAAGCCCGTCGTAGCTGGAGGGCAGTGTGGGCTGGTCCGGGAGGGTGCTCACTCGTGCCCTCGAGACTGACCTGGTGGCTTCCCTTCCAGAGCTCTTCGACATCTGTCTCGCCCGAGCCAAGGAGAGGTGGCGCTCGCTCACCACTGGAGGCCCAGGCACCGGGGTGGACAGTGAAGGTACGCCGCGCCACGCCTGCTGCTGCGGGGCCAGTTCTGGGGCCACTCGTCACTGCGGAGCGGCTTCCCGTCGCTGCCGAAGTGCTTCGTGTGGGTCTACATAGAGCTCCGTGGGAAAGGGTCTCGTTAAGCCAGAGTTACGGGAGAAATAGGGAACGTCCGTTCCTGGCAGGCGTCGAGTCCCAGCACGCGGGGGACGGGCGTCACCAGCGCCGCTTCCTGTAGGTGCTGTGCGGTGCCTGTGCCGGGCTGGGCTGAGGGTTGGCCTCCAGGGAGACGAGGGTGCGGCCTGCTTGCGAGGTGCAGCTTTTTGATGTCCCGTAGCACCCAGGAGCGCCTGCTCGTGTCGCGGGAGGAGTATGTGTGTCAGCATCCTATTTATACTGTCTGTAGTGCTGGAATTCAGATCCAAGAATTAGTCACAGGTTTGTCGGCGATGCCATTCGTGAGTCTTGCCCTGCACTGGCTCCCACGTACACGGAGCTATGTTATTTTCGAAACGTCTACACCTTTAAATTGACAGGGAACCTGAGCATACTCACCCCACACAACATGGCGTTTGGAAGTCCCCGTGAGTGTGCGTTGTGGAGTGGCCGATTGTAACTCGTGAGCACCCGTTTCATCCCACAGTTATTTTCGTCTCCGAGTTGAGCCCGGCCTCCATTCTCTCAGCATTTCTCAGGAGCGTGTTAGCCGGGGCCGGTGCCATGGCGTAGCAGGTTAAGCCACCGCCTGCAGCACTGGTGTCCCCCCATATGGGTGCTGGTTTGGGTCCCAGCTGCTCCACTTCCTATCCTGCTCCCTGCTTGCGCGCTTGGGAAAGCAGCACGGATGGCTCAAGTCCTTGGGCCCTGCACCTACTTGAAAGACCCCAAAAAACTGGTGACAGACCGGCCCAGCTCTGGCTGTTGGGGAGAGAACCAGCAGATGGAAGACCGTTCTCTCTGTCTCTCTGTAACTCTGCCTTTCAGGTAAACCTTAAAGAAGGAGTGTGTGTTAACCGTAGTCGCTGTGTGGCACAGCAGATCTCTGGAATATGCTTTCATGTAACTCAAATTGTGTAGCCTTTGGCTAACGTTGCCCCGTGTGGGTGGCTCCCCACCCAGCCCTGGTGACGCCCGCTCTAGACTCTGCTAAGAATGGGGTTCTCAGATCCCACACGCCCGTGAGGGGACGCGGTGTTCGTCTTTGTGTGCCTGCCTATTTCCCACAACAGGTTCATTTGTGTTGTCGTGAATGACAGAATTCCCTTTTTTTTTTTTTTTAAAGATTTATTTTATTTATTTGAAAGGCAGAGTTAGAGAGAGACAGGAAAGATTGAGAGTAAGAGGTCTTACATCCCTGGTTCACTCCCCAAATGGCTGCAACAGCCAGAGCTGGGCCAGGCCAGAGTGAGAAGCCCCATCCAGGTCTCGCAAGGGGGTGGGGTGCAGGGGCCCAAGGACTTGGGCCGTCCTCCAGTGCTCTTTCCAGGCCGTTAGTTGGGAGCTGGATGGGAAGCGGAGCAGCCGGGACACACACCAGCGCCCTCACGGATGCCGGCGTCACCCATTGCCCCTCCCCTTCCGTGGCTGAAGCGTGGTCCACGCTCCGTATCCCGTTACCCGTTGATGAACCGCAAGGTGGTTCCAGTCAGACTGTTGGGAGTAGTGCCCCAGTGACCCTGGGAGTGCGGGCGCAGGAGTGCTTCTCCTCTGACGCCTGCCCGGGCAGGAGTAGGGCTGCCCCAGCATGCGGCAGCTCTGGCTCTGGCTTTTGGAGGCCACGTGTTTAAGGCCAAATAGTCATTTTTAGGTGGGTTTTCTGTGCTTTGAGTTCAGTTGTGTGTCTCCCCTTACTTGTCCTTACTTTCCACTGACGGTTGTTGATGACAGGTGAGATCCAATTAGATTTTGACTTCAGACTCAGAGACACCTGGCGATGTTACAGCGTTGGCTGGTGCCGGGCACCCTCAGCCTGCTGCGCGTCCCGGACGCCTCCGTCTGGGGAGATCCGGGCAGTGCGGTTCTGCGGAGCCTGCTTGTTTCGGGCTCGTAAACCTTGAGGGCCTGGTAGCTGCCCCGCCCCGCCCGGCCCCGCCCAGCCCGGCGCGGTGACTCTCCCATCTTTCGGCAGATGCCGGATTCCCCGCGGCAGACCGAGAGGCGAGCCTGGAGCTCATTAAACTGGACATCTCCAGAACGTTTCCGAGCCTCTGCATCTTCCAGCAGGTAAGTGCGGTGCTTCGCCGGCTTCGAGGGCATCTGTCTAAGGCGATCGGCGGCACCGCACGTGTCCGCGGTCACGCCCGTGTGTGGGGTGAGGGGGAGGGCAGGTAGGTCACACTCCCAGTACGTTTAGACTTTTAAAAATAAGTGTCACTGATCCCCCCCCCCCCCCAGCTCGTTTCTGGTCTCTGAGAGGCTGCTGGCTCCTGACGTGCAGGCGGCACACGGAAGGCCCGCGCATGGCACTGTGCGCAGCTGTCACGGCCTTGCTGGGCACTCCCGTGTTCTCACTGCTGCCCGCTGCAGCCCTCGCCGTGAGATCCGCCTCCACTCAGGGAGAAAGGGAGACCCCCGGGATCTGTGGAGTAGCCCGGGTGGGCGGCGGTGGTGGGCTTTCTGAGCCGGTGGGCCAGGAGAGCGGCTGTGGGGCCGGAAGCCAGCTGTGCAGGTGGGCGGACAGTGAGGGCAGAGGTCGAAGTGTGTTCGAGCTGTCCCTCAGCCTGTCTGTGATGGCTCTGCCACTTCTTCCAGTCTCCCTGCACGTCTGTCCCTCTCTGCGCCTTTCCCTAGTCCAGAGTCTCAGCTCCCTGCCCCAGCTCCTTCTCGTCTCTCCTGGCCTCTCCTGCCTCCACGGCAGTCTTTGCGTCCCTAGTCAGTGCCGTCGGGCCCAGGTCTCCAAGTCCTGCCTTGCACATAGTAGGTGGCCAGTGAAGGCTGGTGGAGTGCTTAGAGCAGATGAGTTGAGCGGCCACCAGAGCGGGCAGGCCTGGGAGTGGCAGGGGTGTGGCTGTGTCTAGGACTCTGACAGCACAGGGCAGCGCTGTGCCTTCCGCTGGGCGTGGAGGAAGGGGGTACTCTCGGGCCAGGCCTGGATGTTGAGTAGCGGTCTGACCAGAGGGCGGGAAAGGCACCCAGGCAGAAGAGGCCAGAATGGAAGCCTCAGACAGCGGTGTGTCCGGGACTCCCGGTCCTCGTGGGAGAGGGAGCCTCGCTTAGGCTGGAAGGGGCAAAGTGTGGGTCGAGTCCGCGCTCCCTGCCCGGACGTGGTGCTCTGCTCTGAGCAGGGGCCAGCTGCAGCGGGTGTCCAGTGAGCAGGACCGCGCCTGTCCTGAGCTTGCAGTGGGAGACACGCCTGCCTGCAGCGGAGGCGGGGGAACCTGGACTCAGAGGCCCGGCATCCAGGGGACTGCCCAGCGAGGGCTCCGGGAGGGGCGGCCTGAGGAGCCTTTAGCCTTGTTGTCAGGGAGTTCTTGCTGCCTCGGTAACTCTGGGTCTCCAGGCCTCTCCTCACCGCACCCCCTCTCCCCTGCTGGGTTGGAGCTGGGCATGAGGGCTGACCCTGGCAGAGTGAGCACGCCCTCTCGCGTCCCTCCTGTCTGAAGCCCCTTGGACGGATCCCTCTCTGGACCGCAGGGTCTGTCCGCAGGGTGCAGCGTGTGGTTTGCAGGCCCCGCGAGCGCTGCCCTGGCACCTGGCGACTCGGGCTCGGCACGTGCAGCTTTGCGTCTCCTCCCTGTCCCAAGTAGTTTCCAAAAACTAATTAGTTAATTGTTATTCATTGGAAAGCGTAGCGACAGAGAGGGAGGAAGAGACAGAACGATGTCTTCTATTGACTGGTCCGTTTCTGGCACTGCTGCGGCAGCCCAGGCTGGGCCAGGCTGAACCAGGAGCCTGGAGCTCCACCCAGTCTGTCACGTGGCTGGCAGGGGCCCAAGGACGGGGCGTATCCACTGCCCTCCCAGGTGTGTCAGCAGGGAGCTGGGTCGGAAGTGGAGCCGCAGGGACTAAACCAGCCTTCGGGATGCCGGCATTGCCAGTGGCGGCTTAACCCACTGGGGCCACGCCTGCCGGGTGGCTGTGCTAGTGCACCAAGCTCTGCAGCCTTCGGGGCTCCAGAGCTGCTCCTGGCTTCTGCCCTTGAACCCTGCGGCCCTTTCCCGCCCTGAACTGAGTTCCTGTGTCTCCACGGTGGGCTCCGGAGGGGCGGGCTTCCTATTCTGTGCCCTGCGATGGGCCTTTGAATGCCATGTTTCCTTCTTGCTAGCATGATGGCCTCCAGCACACACAGCGCTTCGCATCGGCCCAGCTCTGGCTGTTGCAGCCATTCGGGGAGTGAGCCAGTGGATGGAAGACCTTTCTCTGTCCCTCCGTCTGTCTGTAACTCTCTCAAATAAATTAAAAAAAAAAAAAAAAAAGCTTAGTAACCTTCCTAGTCAGCGGAGCTGGATCGTGCTGGAAGTGCCGTCGGAAGGAGGGGCTCCTGGACCTTAGCAGCACTCTGACTCTTTGCAGCCTGATTTATCTGAAAGGCAGAGATGTAGGCCGGCGCCGCGGCTCACTAGGCTAATCCTCCGCCTTGCGGCGCCGGCACACCGGGTTCTAGTCCCGGTCAGGGCACCGGATTCTGTCCCGGTTGCCCCTCTTCCAGGCCAGCTCTCTGCTGTGGCCAGGGAGTGCAGTGGAGGATGGCCCCAGTGCTTAGGCCCTGCACCCCATGGGAGACCAGGAGAAGCACCTGGCTCCTGCCATCGGATCAGCGCGGTGTGACGGCCGCAGCACGCCGGCCGCGGCAGCCATTGGAGGGTGAACCAACGGCAAAGGAAGACCTTTCTCTCTGTCTCTCTCTCACTGTCCACTCTGCCTGTCAAAAAAAAAAAAAGAAAGAGACGTGGGTACCCTCATACGTGCATATGAACATCCTCCATCTGCAGGGTCACTTCCCGACGCCCACGACAGCCAGGAATCAGGAACTCCATCCGAGTCTCCCACGTGGGTCGCAGGAACCCAGGGTCTGGCTCCTCACCCTGCCTGCTAGGCACAGTAGCAGGAAGCTGGAATTGGAAGCTTGGACTAGCCGGGGCTAAAGTAGGGGGCGGAGGTACCCAGGCCCGCTGGCCGGTCCTCTCTCGCCCTCCACGGTGGTTCTTGGAGAATTAGCTGAGTGAGGCACTCCCGAGGTTCATGGGATCTGCCCCACCCGCCGAGGACCAGGCCAGCTGCCCCCGGACCCCCGAGGTTTCTCCTGGAGCACCTCTTGGGGCCTCAGCTCAGAAGCGTGCCTGTTGACTGGGTGCAGAGCGCTGTGTTCAGAAAAGGGTGAGCTCTGAGTGGGGTGTGGGACGGCTGGTGGGAAGGCTCCTTGACGTGGGGCTGTGGCCCCCAGGGTCCCGAGCTCTGTACATGGGTGGGGGAGATCGAGGCGTCTGGAACAGAGCCTGGGATACGGGTCCCTCTTTCTGTGAAAGCAGTGACGTGACGAGGCTCTAGGTACGTTCCAGGAAAGAGACGCTTTAAGTTGAAGACGCTGGGTTGTGGGGAGGGTCAGTGTGGTTTCTCCTGCAGCCTGGGCTGCATTAAACGGTTAGAGCCACGCTGGTCCTGCGGCTGCACGCACTGCAGCCCTCCCTTCTTTCCCTCGGCCTCTTTGCAGGTCAGGTTGTGACGGCCTGGACCCTGGCGTTCTGTGAGCCACCCCTGGTGACGTCTGGATTGTGTCCCTGTGCTAACTGTGGGCGTGTGGTGGGAGTGGACAGTGAGCGCTTCGCAGTGTCTGCTGGCGTGCCAGCATCAGTGGGAGCCGTTGCTCAGCTGGCTTTTGTGCTCAATTAGGAAAAAATCCCGGGCTGGCGTGTGGCGCAGCAGGAAAGCCGCCGCCTGCAGTGCCCGCAGCCCATACGGGCGCCAGTTCGCATCCCAGTGGCTCCACTTCCATTCCAGCTCTCTGCTATGGCCTAGGAAAGCAGTAGAGGATGGCCCAAGTGCTTGGGCCCCTGCACCCGCGTGGGAGACCAGGAGGAAGCTCCTGGCTCCTGGCTTCGGATGGGCCCAGCTCCGGCTGTTGCAGCCCGTTGGGGAGTGAACCAGCAGATGGAAGACCTCTCTCTTTCTCTGCCTCTCTATAGCTCTACCTTTCAAATAAATAAATAAATAAATCTTTAAAAAGAAAAAGAAACGGAAATCTTGGAGAAGTGGGAGAGCTGGAAGAATGAAATAAAATGGGAGGTCCTGGTCCTGGGACCCGAGCCACAGAAGCTGCTCCCAGTCCCCTCTGCGCCAAGACGCACACACCAGAGAAACAAAGGACGTGGTAGACGGAGGAAGACAGAAGACTGGACGGGGGCCCAGTCAAGGAGCAGAGTAGCCTGCTCTGGGGGCCCCAAGGTAACACTCACCTGTTGACCCTGGAAGGGCAGTGCAGCTACACAGCAGGGGCGAGCTCAGGGTCTCCTAGAGCAGCGCTCGGGCCCGGCCCACCGGCTTTTCCCAAAGCAGCTTCGTAGGCTGAGCCGCACTGGTTTATCTGGTCGTTTGCCCGATGCACGTGGAGCGGCTGGCACCGCGCTGCCGGAGGAGTGGGGCGCCGCGTGGCATCCGTGTGGCTCGGAGCTAACATACTCACGCATGTGTCGTTCTTGCTGTGTTGACCCTCTAGGGCGGGCCTTACCATGACATGTTGCACAGTATTTTGGGCGCTTATACTTGTTACCGGCCGGATGTGGGTTATGTAAGTGACGTTTTTCAGTATTTTATAATGCTGTCATCCGAAGGGAAAGTCAGAGTGCCGTCTGGCACCCCTTGGCTGCGGAGGTCAAGTGGAAACCCTTGGTTTTTGCCGAGGGGCACTAAGAGTCCTGTGGCGAAGGGGCTGACTCGGTTTCCCCGGGAGCAAACGGAGCCGTCCCCGTGGCTCTTTCTCGTTTATCACATTCTAACTGGATGTGATTTTCATCTTCTGCACGCGATTGATTGTCCCCAGCGTTTAAAAAAGCCTTAGCAGTAACCACTTTAAAAACACGCTGCCCACACTGCTGCAGTGGCAGGTGCGTGTGTGCATGCACGCGTGTGGTTTGCATGGGACACGTTGAGTTGGGCTTGCGTGTCTGCAGCTGCAGGGCGGGACTTCAGGGCAGGCTGCCTGGAGGGGGCTTGGCGACGGTTTCCACTGCGGGTGGGGGGCGGGGGGTACTGGAGCGGAGCAGGGCAGTGCTCTGGGTGAGGCCGGGTCAGGAGCATGGGGCGGCGGGTTCTGCTGGGTGGGTAGCTGCTGGGGGCCCTTCCCGCGGGGGAACGCGTGGCTCCTCCTGTAGTGCGGAGAGCGAGCCGCTCTGACCTTGGTGGCGGCTGCTGACTGAACGCCCTCTCTCCCCTCAGGTCCAGGGCATGTCCTTCATAGCGGCAGTGTTGATCTTGAACTTGGACACTGCCGACGCCTTCATCGCTTTTTCTAACCTGCTGAATAAGCCCTGTCAAATGGCGTTTTTCCGAGTGGACCACGGCCTTGTGAGTATTCTGGGCCCAGGCCCAGGTGCTGTGCCCCCACACATCAGGACTGTCCAGCCTTTCTGTCTTCTCGCATTTTCCCTGCACAAAGCGGGTTCACAGCACACAGCGTGAGGAGGCGGTCACGCTGAACCCAGGTCTGACAGCAGCCGCTGGTGGCCACGTGAGTGGATGTGTGGTGGCCTCGAGAGGGGGTCGCCTTTCAGGGTAGTCTCGGAGCCGGGGAGGAAGGGCGGCTATTCTCGCACACGCAGCACACACGTGGACACAGGCATGCACATATGTGCACGCACACTCTCTCTCTCTCTCTCTCTCTTCGTGTGTTGAAGGCATTCAGGCCTCTTGGTCAGCACACCGTAGGTGAGGTGTGGGGGGGCCGTGCGTCGTGAGAGGTGCTGGCACCTGGAGAAAGGAGGCGTGTGTAGACCACGCTCCCGTGTTGACAAGAGGGGCAGCAGCGTGCTGTGGGTGTGGGAGGGCTGGCGGCGGCGGCCTGGGGAGCCGGGGGATGGCACTGCGGCGAGAAGGCAGCTGGTGCGTGCTGGAGCTGGCGGTGGCAGCCCTGCTCTGGGAGCAGCTGGCCGGAAGGTCACCAGTGCCCCGGGCGCCCAGCCTTTCGGTGAGCCTGGCCTTGACGTGCTGATAGCTTGCTGAGAGCAACCGCTGGTGTCTCAAGGCCAGAATAATCTAACCCTTAGGTCCACGGGAGCGTTTCTTCCGGGCGTCTGCAGGACTCGTGCGTGTCGCTTGTCCAGGCAGTGTCTGCATTTTAAAAAGCGTATTTGGAAACTGCTGCTGGACGGTGGCTGTTGGGAAGGTATAGACCGGCGGTTCGGTGTTAGCAGCGGCCACACAGCGCTGTGTGCAGTTGTGCTAAGGAGTCCTAGGTGTGGACAAGTCATTACGCTCAGTGGGCGGTCATAGCATGTTAGTTAGGGTTGTGAGCACGCAAGCAACTTAAAACGGGTCTGAGGGGGCGCAGAACTGTGCGGTCGGGTGTGTGACGCATCCGGGGTGTGCGCAGAAGACGGGTGAGCGGCGGTGCCCAAGGCGAATAGACTCGCTCTCCCAGGAGCGTTAGACAGCGTCCGCTACTCGACAGCAAAAGAGAAAGCGCCACGCATTGGGCTGCTTCGGGTGGGAACCTTAGGGGCTCGTGCGGCTTGTGTGTCCCCAGGCCTCTGCAGAGAGGGTTCCCTTCCGTAATCAGGAAGGCTGAGCCTCCCCGAGGAGGTAGTGGTCAGAGACGAGAGATCAGGACATCGGGCCGGGCAGCGCACGGCGCTGACGCACAATGAGTTACTTCTGGAAGTAGTTCCTGGGTCCACACTTAATCCTGTCTTTTTGTATGTAATAAAGTCATTCCCATCCAGATTTCTTCTCTGGGAACAAAGGGTAAAGTCCGTGCTTAGGATGTTAGCTCACGTGTTTCCAGGAGACTGCGGAACCTTGGCGCTGATTGGCAGACGCTCAATGCTCCAGTGACGCGTGGCCGGGGAACCACCAGGGCTTCCCGCGCTGCGTGTGTGGCAGCGACCCGGCCTCACACACGAACGCCAGCAGCACCACCCCCAGTCGTGGCAGGAACGACCTCCGGGCCTCGCCAGCTGTCCTGAGAGGCAGCACCACCCGTCAGGACGCTGGGTTAGCAAAGCCCTTTCAGTGGGGGGCCGACATGGTCCACCAGAGCGCCTGCCCACACGGTGCCCGGGCCTGTTGTCCACCAGAGCGCCTGCCCACACGGTGCCCGGGCCTGTTGTCCACCAGAGCGCCTGCCCACACGGCAGCCTGGGCCTGTTGTCCACCAGAGCGCCTGCCCACACGGCGGCCTGGGCCTGTTGTCCACCAGAGCGCCTGCCCACACGGTGCCCGGGCCTGCTGGACCACCAGAGCGCCTGCCCACACGGCGGCCTGGGCCTGTGGTCCACCAGAGCGCCTGCCCACACGGTGCCTGGGCCTGCTGCTCCCAGGCCAGGGAGAGCCGGCCTCGCTCCCTCAGCACCGCCCCTCGCGTGGTGCGCGTTTCCCCCGAGAAGGTGACAGCAGCCTGCGGTTTCCCGACGCCGCGATGCTCTTTCCCCGAGCGTCTCCCGCCTGTTGGTCAGAGGCTGCGGGAGCGAGCTGGAGCGGTGGCGCCCCGCTGTAGGTCAGCGTTAGCCGCGTCCTCCTGCAGGTGTGCAGTTGCCGCACTCCTGGGCCTGCAGGAACAGCCGTGCGGTGGGGCCCAGCTTTCGGCAGGCTCGTGCCGCGCCCCTCCCTGCCGCGGCCTGCGCTCCCTTCCGGGCGAGCTGAGCAGTCGGAAGCTGCCTCGCAGGTCCGAGGCGCGCATGGTTGTGCCTGCCGGGCGGTGCCCCGTGGGCCGCTGTCGGGTGTCAGCCGCTCTGTTGGATTCTGAAGGTGTAACCGTGCTGGTGAACGGGGAACTTGTCTGACAGTGAGTTTACTGTTAATATTTCACATTTTCTTTCTAGATGTTGACTTATTTTGCTGCATTTGAGGTATTCTTTGAAGAAAATTTGCCGAAATTATTTGCTCATTTCAAGAAAAACAACTTAACTCCAGACATCTACCTGATCGATTGGTAAGACTCTCTGTGTGTCTTCAGAGCACCTCCGCCCGCCCCCTCCCCTCCATCCCCGCTGCGGCCTGCTCTCCCGTCTCTCCCCTGTCTGCCCTGCGGGCTCCCACTCTGTAATGATCACCCATCTCGCACTGAGAGCTCACCCCTAATACCACCCACGACCCAGCCGGGCCTCCCGGGTTCCCTGCGGGGACCTGTGCACCCACGCAGCCAGCCATCCCCAGGGGGCATCTGCCAGGCCCCCTGCCGGGTCCTGGAGGTGGGTGGTGAGCGGAGGGTGGGGGGAGGGGCGTGAGGAAGGGCAGAGGTCACGGGGGTGACACTTGGGCTTGAGCCAGGTGTGACGGGGGGGGGAGTGGGTGATGTCCCAGTGCTAGCCGGAGCAGCCGTGGCACCTGCTGGTGTTGGGGACTGCAGTGGAGGAGGAGGAAGGCAGGGGAGGAGGTTGGGGCCAGGGCTTGGCGTGTCGCAGAGACGGACGCGAGCCTGGAAAAGGTGATGGGGGTGGAGGGGCGCTGGAGGCTTGTGCTGGGGGGGGGGGGGCAAGGGTGTGGCACATCTGAAAGGGAGGCGGGAGTTCCTGAGGCGGGACAGCCTGGGCCAGAGTAGAAGTGGGCGGAGCTTGGGCAGGGGCGAGAGATTGGCAGGCCCCCAGGAGGGGTACGTGGGTGTGCCAGAGGACCCCCGTCCATCCGGAGTGTCTGTCCCGTGAGGGGTTGCCTGAACCACCTGCTGAGGGGAGCAACACCAGGGAAACGGCCAAGGGTGGGGCTCTGAGAGCGCTGGCCCAGCCGGTCACCTGCTGCCCCGTCTCTCCCCTGCTGCCCCCCGTCTCTCCCCTGCTGCCCCCGTCTCTCCCCTGCTGCCCCCTGTGGGGAGCAACTGGGAGCAACTCGGACTAGACTGAGTTACTGGAATTAAGACTTATTCTATGCATCTGCTCTCCCACAATATGGCGCTGGGAGAGGAGGAAACAGCTTCTACGCAGCTGCCTCCAGTTCAACCAATAAACAGCAGGACCTGCTCCTGATTGGAGGAGAGCAGCGTACTCGGCGTGTGGGCAGCCGAGTTGGGATTGGCGGAAGAGGACTATAAAGGAGGAGAGAGACGACATGCACCAGGAACATCTATCTGAAGGAACACCTGTGCAGCCCCCGAGACAGCCGGCCGGCGGTGTGCCGCTCCCCTGCGGAAGTGGGGAAAGTGGCAGGGGGAACCGCCCCTCCACGGAGGTGGAAGGGTCGGTAGCCAACCCGGGAAGAACCAGCAGCAAACCCGGGGAGGGCCGAGCAGACAAAAGAACAGCGCAGGGTCCTGTGTCATTCCTCCACGAAGAGGGGGAGCGACACCCCCGTCTCTCCCCTGCTGCCCCGTCTCTCCCCTGCTGCCCCCGTCTCTCTCCCCTGCTGCCCCGTCTCCCTCCCCTGCTGCCCCCGTCTCTCTCCCCTGCTGCCCCCGTCTCCCTCCCTCCCCTGCTGCCCCGTCTCTCCCCTGCTGCCCCCGTCTCTCTCCCCTGCTGCCCCGTCTCTCCCCTGCTGCCCCGTCTCTCCCCTGCTGCCCCCGTCTCCTTCCTCTGCTGCCCCCCCATCTCTCCCCTGCTGCCCCGTCTCTCTCCCCTGCTGCCCCCGTCTCTCTCCCCTGCTGCCCCCCCTCCCCGCTCTTCTGCCCGTCCGTGAGGCAGTGTGGTGCTTATGTGTCTGCCCCTGGCTTGTTTGCCTTAGGGACCTCCAGGTTGACCCCTCCGTGGCTGAGTGCCACGCCACTGTGTGCAGGTACCACGTGGCTGAGTGCCACGCCACTGTGTGCAGGTACCACGTTCTGGTTAGTCATCACCCCATTATTTTCTTTTATTTTTTTAAGAGACCTACTTTATTTGAAAGGCAGAGCTGCAGAGAGGGGGTCCTCCCTCCACTGAGCCGTCCCCAAACGGCTGCAATGGCGGGAGCCGCGAGCCCCCTCTGGTGTCCCAGGCGGAGGCAGGGCCTCCAGGGCCTGGGCCAGCCTCTGCTGCCCTCCCAGGCTCATCAGCACATCAGCAGGGAGCCGGCTCGGACGCAGAGCAGCCAGCGGGTGCGGGTGCAGGCAGTGGCTCGGCCCTCTGTGCTGTGGCTGGTTTGACCTTGCTTTGTTTAGCCCTGTGCGGGGGAATGAGGCCCGCTTATTTGGGACCAGAGAGGGAGCGGCAGGGGACCCGGGTGTCCTGAGCCAGCTCAGGGGCAAAGGCTCCGTCTCGGGGGGACGCGGAGGCAGAGCTGGGAGGGGTGGCGGCGGCCTGCCCTGCCTCGGCCGGGGTCTGCGTCTTCTGTGGGAGGCACAGTGGTGCTGCGTCCTCCCAGGATGACATCGCAGAGGGCAGGCAGAGGCACAGAACACAGTGCTTCCTGTTTGGTCTGCAGCCCAAGGCCACTCGGCGGCGGCC